GCAGGGCTGGCTGCAGGGGAAGCTGTGTGTGTGCAACACAGGAGCTGGGGGCTGGGGAAGCTGTGTGTGCAACACGGGAGCCGGTGGCTGGGGAAGTGTGTGTGTGCAACACGGGAGCCTGCCCGGTGAGCTCGTAGAAACCAGAAAGAAAAACAAAGCAAAGCAAAAACAAAATCTGTTTTCCTTCTACAGCATCTCTCCTATGCCCTCTGTTGATAAAGCCTCATTTTATGCCTACTGCCAAAAGACAACTCTTTAAGGAGCCCATACTGTTTTAACAGAACAGGCAAAAGGGGTGGATTTGGAGCTGAGAGGCAATAAATTATTAACTGGCACAATATGGTACCTTTCTGTTTATTTGGAATTTTAAAAGAAAGAAAACTTATAATAGGAAAAAAACCTGGAAAAGTAGTTGCCTCTGGGGATTTGGGGAGGTGAGAGCAGGGACTGGTTGGAAAGAGGCAAGATAGAATGTTTTGTGGTAGTGGTAATATTCTGTATCTTGAGAGCAGTTTAACCAAGTCATGCATTTGCCAAAATGCAAGATTTGTGTATTTCTTTGTATGTAAACTTCACTGTAGAGGAAAAATGTAAACAAAAGTAAACATATGCATGGTATTTAGGAAGGAAGTTGTGATTCTTACAGTTTACTTTGAAATGCATGAAGAAATAATATGGATTGATGGATGAATAGAGAGATAAATATATGATAACACAAGAATAGGCAAATATTAATGGCAGTATCTAGGTACCAACCAGATTTAGAGGACATTGGTGTTCATGGTAAAATTATTTCAGCCTTTTTTTGTGTTGGAACATTTTGGAATTTGATGCCAGAAAGAAAATTATTACCTTAGTTGCTGAGGGGAGGATGGATTTTAGGAGAACAAGAGCAGAGATGGGCAGATTGGTGGGGAGACAATTTTGGTAATGCCACGATGGGGGCTGAAAGCCTAAATCAAGAGTAGCGGCAGTGGAGATGGAGAGCAGGAGGGTCAGTACAGCTTTGGGGCAGAAAGTGATATGTAATGGTGATGTACTGAAGATGGGCGGGGAGGAAAAGTAATCACAGTCAGGCTTTGATTTTATACAGTTCAGTAGATGGTAATGTCTTTTGCTGTGTAGAGAAGATAGAGACATAGCTTTGAAATATGTGCAGTTGAAATCAAGAATTATATCTTACACCTGTGAATCAGGTTTAAGATATCTGTGAGACATCTTGAGGGAATTGTCTAGTAAGCAGTTGGATGTGTGTTTGGAGAACAGAAGAGAGATCTGGGCTAGAGAAATGTTAAGAATAAAATTAAGGAAATACCAGCTGTTTTGGACTGAGTTGTGCCCCTCCCCTGCCCAAATTCATATGTTGAAGCCACTCCCAATTTAAGTGTATTTGGAAACAGGGCTTTCACCGAGAGAACTAACCTTAAATGAGGTCATAAGTGTGGGGCCCTAATCCAGTAGGATTGGTGGCATCCTTATAAGAAGAGAAAGAAACACCAGCAATGCATGTGCACGGAGAAAAGACCCTATGAGGACACGGTGAGAAGGCGGCCATCTGCAAGCCAAGGAAGAAGGCCTCTCCAGAAATCATCCCTTGCTCTTGAATTTCTAGCTTCCAGGACTGTGAGAAAGTAAATTTCTGTTGTTTAAGCCATCTAATATATGATATTTTGTTACGGCAGTCCTAGCAAACTATACACCTGCCATGGCATTTAGAGACCTGACAATGATGTCATCACCTAGGAGGCAAGGGTAAGAAGAGAAGAGTGGAGGGAGCCACTTTGGGTCTTAAGGAATACCAACGTGGAGCGGCCAGACAGGCCAAGATAAAGCAGCAAAGGAGACTGATGAGGTTAATGGGAAAATGACAGAAAAAAGTCATAAAAGCCAAGAGAGGAAAGTGTTTTAACAGGGAAGGGACAGTTGAGTTTAATGCTGCTGCTAGATTGGGTGAGTTGATGATGAAAGAGTCCACTGAATTGGAAGCATGCTGATGACAAGGGTGGTTTCTGAGGCGTGTAGGCAAAATACACTAAAAACAGAGTTAAACAGAAAGCCTCCAAAAACAGACTGGGAGAAAAATATGATTTACACACACACACACACACACACACACACACACACACAGAGAGAGAGAGAGAGAGAGAGAGAGAGAGAGAGAGAGAGAGAGAGAAGATACTATCTATAACACAAAGCACTGCTATAATTCAATAAGATCACTGAATAGGGAAAAACTAGAGAAAGAATATGACAAAGAAATTCTTAGAAGAAAGGTGATGCTCAGTCTCATTCATTAGGGAAATGTCCATTAACTATGAGATACTGTATTTTGTTCTTTACATTGTAAAATATTTAATATTTCATAATATTGAGATACACAAAGATACTCTCATATTTTTAGAGAATATGTAAAGCCTTTTAAAATAATAATTTGGTGTTACCTATCAAAATAAAATTGCTTATATCTGTTTTCCATTAATTTTACTTCTAAGAATTTTTTCTTCAGAGACCTTTACATAGATATTCAAGATATCTTATTTCGCCAAATCTAACCTCATTGTTTAAAAGATGCATCCCAATTTCGGAGATATTAAAATGTGAAAATAAGCAAAACCAGAATTGATGCAATGCAGTATTATCAAGATGTGCATTGCAGCATTGTTTAAAAAGTTACAACTGATAATACTGAATTTTAAGCTTTTATAAAGACTAAGGTAGATCTAAACGTACTGAAATGGAAACGGCCACTTTGTTAAGTGAAATGAATGAATTTGCAGACATTTACAATATGATGATATTTCTGTAGGACAAATTGGTATATGTAAAATTTACAGCTTCCTTTAAAAATTCTGGTTGGGTAAATACTAAACAGTGATACTCTTACAAATAGGATTGGCATGGAGGTGAAATGTATCTTTTTATTTTATTTCATACATAGAAGTATTTTTTTCTATTTTTTTAAACAAAGATAACATTATTTTTGCAGAACAAAAAATCTTTATATTTTAGCCTGACCAACCTGATTTGGTTAAGTTAAGGGAATAGGATAGTAAAAGGGTAACAACTTCTTTAGCATTTTGGAATTAAATTGAGTATTTCAGCAACAAAGCTTACAAAAAACTATGGGTTTTGTTTCCAAAGCTAGATCTGGATGAATGCAAATAGAGTTATGATCCAGAACTTGTAGAACTAGAGTGAGAACTAGGTGATATGAGGTGCTGTGATGATGAGGTAGAGAAGGAGGGCAGAACTGTAGAATTTGGAGAAAGCATGGGCATTGTATCCAGAAATAAATATCATAGAATTATTATCCTCGACTTCCGGAAATGGAACCTTTGAGAAATGGGACATGGGACTCTCAGGCTTCAGCTGTGAGACTTCTTATGCTCATGTGGTGTAAGAGCATGTAACTTACCTATGTGATTGTTTCTGCAGGACATATTCCTAGAAGTAAAATTAATGGAAAGATGAAAAAGACTCCACAGTCATGCATTTGGCAGCTACAGCTGACACTGAGAGGGGTGCTTCAAGTCATAGGCACAGGTCAAGGCAGCTGCCTCAGTATTCATACTAAAAACTGGGATGTTAAGTTAGGTAATTTTAAGATACATGGGCAGTAATACCAATTATTTTATTTCATTTTTATTTTTGGCTTTATTAAAATTTAATTAAATGTGACTGGTTTCCTTAGCTCTTGGGAAGGTACTTTCATAGGTGAATAGTGGTTCAAATTGATATTTCTGTGAGGGATGATTGCTGGGAGTCCTGTCCTGACATCTTCCTCCTCACCTTTGACCAACACCAATACTTTCAGAAAGCAGCACTGAAATTCAGAAATGCCAATTATAAATAAACTATATGCCATCTTAACATAAGCTGAATACTAACATTTTCATTACTTGGAATGACTATTATAAAATAAGTAATGATCATTTATAAATAATTAAATATCTTTATATCTAAAATTCCAGTATTCCATGCAGATCAAAATTTCTTCTACAAGTTGAGCCTTTCTCCCCAGCCTTTAGACATTGTAGACGGGGGAGTATGTCTTGCTAATTCTAGTCTTTAAAGGCAGTATTTCTAAGTCCACAACATGTAGGCACAAAGAGACAAAGCTCCTACGCGAGGATTTCAGAACTATAGTAACAAACAAATCGACTGTAAAGAGACATTTTTAGGACAGTCGAAGTGTGAATCTGAAATGGTTATTAGATGATATTGAAGAATTGTTGATTTTCTTATGTGTGATAATAATATTGTGTTTATGTTGGATAACATTAACCACTCTTCTACCAATATATGCTTAAGTATTTAGGGATGTCATGTCATGACGTCTACCGTTATCTTTTACTTCAGCAAAAGATACAGAAGATGCTAATATGGCAAAATATGAATGCTGTATCAAGGTGATGCGTATATAGCAGTTCTTTATACTCTGCTTTCTATTCTCATACATTTAAAATATTTATAATAAAAATTTAACAAAGTCTAGGTAAAATAAAATTCGAAAGGGCATGATTATTGGATACGTAAAATTAATTCATGCACAGCATCTCTTCTTTAATCACTTTGCCTCAAGGAGCCTTGGCTGAACTTCTGGAGCGGTGGCCCGGGAGCCCTGCGCCGGGCGGCTGGCGATCCGAACGTGCGCTGAGTTCTCCTCGCAGACGCCTCTTCACCTGCTTCGACACCAGCACACTCGACGGGAGAAGAAACGCGGTGCTTGATGTCCGCCGGGTCCCGTCGTCCCCAGGCAACAGGGGACGCGCGGCTCAGTTCCAGCCAGGTGCCCCGGGTCCTCGGTCCAGCTTCGGGGGAGATCCGAGAGCCACCTTTTCGTGCAGAGACGCTGCCGCCTGGCAACCCCCGGGAACCCCGGGAGGGAGAAGTTGCCGCTCGTCCCTCAGCGCTCAAGGAAATTAACAAAAATGTTCTTTGGGCTTGAGCCCGGGCGGCTGGGAGTTCTCAACCGGAAGTCCCGCCTTCGGGCCGGAGCGCTTCCTGTTTGGTAACTAAGGACGCGAGACGGTTGCTAGGGCTCCCGTGGCAATTACCGCCGCGCTGTGCAGGTGCCTGGGCTCGACGCGGGTGCTGTTCACCCGCTGTCCGGGAAGGCGAGTCTCTGCTCTGTTCCTCTTCTATCCGTTCGCAGTCATGAGTAGCGAATTCCTGGCTGAGCTGCGTTGGGAGGATGGCTTCGCCATCCCAGTGGCGAACGAGGAGAACAAGGTGCTGGAAGATCAGGTGAGGTCAAGGGAAGAAGGCAGGAGGAAGTGGAGAAAGCCTGCTGGAGGCGTTTTCTGCTTGGCAGTACTCCCCCAGCCCTCTCTTTTCTCTCCTTTCCGAGCCCTGTGCTTCCTCTGTCTAACGCTCCCTCGCACCATCGCCCTCCTCCCTTACCCTGCCTGCCTGTTTCAGTCATTGTTAAGCATTTAAAAGTTTTATTAAAACCATAATTGACATTTAGGGTTATAAAGTTCGAAACTCCCTTCCCCAGGCCCACTCCTCTTACTCATTTCTTTACTCCTGGCGGGAGAGGAAAGGCTGGGTCCGGCATCCGCTTTTTCCTTGCTCAAAATTAAGCGGTCCTTGGAAAAGAACTTCTGAGGTTTGCGTAGCAACAGTTATTTGCACACGTTTATAAATAAAACGCCAGAAGGTTGATATTCCTTTGTGAGTTTCTGTCTATAATGTTTAAAGCTGAAAGTGACTTGAGGTGTTTTCAAGAGGAACATTCCAGTAAGAATGTGAAGCGTGCAGTTTACAGTTTTTTGGAGAGAAGATTGAGTTGTCACAGATTGACATAAGATATTTTTAAGTTGTAAGGACGAACTTGTATCAACTACAATTCATAGCAGTTGTTAAAAATTAATTGCAGGCCAGGTGCAACGGCTTACACCTGTAAGCCCCGCGCTTTGGGAGGCTGAGGCAGAGGATCCCTTAAAGCCAGGAGTAAACCAGCCTGAACAAAAATGTGAGATCCCCCGCAAAGCCCTCCCCTCCCGCATCTCTAGGGAAAAAAATAAAAATAAAAAATTGCAGCAGCTCAGCAAATTTTGAAAAACCTTGGTGGTGATCTGTTGTGTAGAAGGTCCAAGAATAGCAGATGATGCTTAGGCAACTTTACAAAACAGAAAAGAAAATTTTCTCAGCTCTGAAAATGGAAAATGAAAATCCCGTGACTGTACCTTTTGAAAAGAATGGAAATACTTTTTTTAAAACATTCTGATCTATTTACTCATGTGTAATTTAGAAGACTGCATTTTTTCCCCAAAGAAGGGCAGTATTAAGAAATGTAAGTGATCTAGCACCGAGTACTGAGGAATTAATACTAAGTATCCAGGCCTGGGTTCAGATCCTGCTTGCCAACCCTAATCCTGCTTCTTTTTCTGTAAAGTGGAGATAGAGATAAACTACTTCGCAGGTTCTGGGGAAATAATATGGGTTAAAGTTCCATCCAGATTTTAGTTTTTAGTATTATTGCCATCATATGTGTCTTGCAGGATTTTATATACATATTACTTATAGTGGCATTGTCAGCGAATTTTTTGTTCGTTTGTTTGAGATAGAGTCTTACTCTGTCATCATCCAGGATGAGGTGCAGTGGTGTGATCTCGGCTCACTGCAACCTCCACCTCCTGGGTTCAAGCGATTCTCCTGTCTCAGACTCCTGAGTAGCTAGGATTACAGGCATGAGCCAACATGCCTGGCTAATTTTTGTGTTATTAGTAGAGATGGGTTTTCACCATGCTGGCCAGGCTGCTCTTGAACTCCTGACCTCAAGTGATCTGCCCTTCTTGGCCTCCCAAAGTGCTGGGATTAAAGGTGTGAGCCACCACAGCTGGCCTATGAGCAGTAATGTTTCTAGAGGAATTCCTTTTTTTCTGAGCAGCTGGAATCAACAGTGGGTTTAAAGTGTTCAGTAAACCATGTTGTAGACAGATGTTTCATCCGGGTGTTTTTGTTCTATTTAATAGACCACGGGCAGAGCAGATTTAGCATCATTCTGAAGGGCCACAGGATTTTCAGAATAGTAAATGGCATAGGCTTTAACTTAAAGTCACTGGCTGCATTCGCCCCTAATAAAGAGTCAGTCTGTCCTTTGAAGCTATGAAGCCAGGCATCGGCTTCTCCTAGTGAGCTATAAAAGTCATAGATGGCATCTTCTTTTACTCTATGGCTGTTTCATCTACGTTGAGAATCTGTTGTTTGGTGTAGCCAGCTTTATCCGTGATCTTAGCTAGACCTTCTAGAACTTGCTACCTCACTTTGTACTTCTGTGTTATGGAGATGGTTTCTTTCCTTAAACATCATGAACCCACCTCTGCTAGTTTTAAACTTTTTTTCTGCAGCTTCCTCACCTTTCTGAAAGTTAAGGGCCTTTCCCTGGATTAGGCTTTGGCTTACGGGAATGTTGTGGGTGATTTAATCTTTTATCTGGACCACTAAATCTTCTAACAGGACCACTAAGGCTCCAAAATTGGGGCTTAGCCCTGGAGGGTTCTTGGCTTCACCCAGGAAAGAATTTAAGTGTGAGCCAGTGGTGTTAGACAGCAACTTTCATTGAAGTGGCAGTGTGCAGCAGCAGCAGCAGCAGCAGCAGCAGCAGCAGCAGAGGTACTGCTCCTTGTGGAGCAGGGATACTTGAAATAGTGTGCCCAGAGCAGCAGCTCAGAGGCAGTTCTGTAGTTATATTTATACCCACTTTTAATTTATACGTACACTTAGGGTCATTGGGTTGTTGCCATGGATAGGAGTGATAACTTCCATTTATTTATTTATTTATTTTTTGAAACAGAGTCCTGCTCTGTCACCCAGACTTGGCTCACTGCAACTTTTGCCTCCCAGGCTCAAGCCTGTGCCTCAGCACTCCAAGTAGTTGGGAATTACAGGTGCATGCCATCACACCCAGCTAATTTTAGTATTTTTAGTAGACTTGGGTTTTGCTGTGTGGGCCAGGCTGATCTCAAACTCCTGGCCTTAAGTGATCTGTCAGTCTTGGCCTCCCAATGTGTTGGGATTATAGGTGTGAGCCACCACACTGGGTTCAAAGGGGTGATCATTCTGGGTGTTGCCATGGCAGTGGTAAACTGACATGGCATGCTGGTGAGCATGTCTTATGGAAAGCTGCTTCCCCTCCATCCCTGCTTTAGCTGGTCCTCAATTTGTTTTGGTGTCTGAGAAACAAACCCACCTCCTATCTCACTTTCTCCTTATCAGCAGTAAGGCTATTTTTCTTTCTTATCCTTTGTGTGTTCAAGGAAGTAGTACTTTTTATTTCTTTCCAGATATTAAATAAGGAGAAAAAAGTAAAGGAAGTAAAAAAACAGAATAAAGGCACTGTGGTACTTTACATATACAGACATGTGGCACCATCTACTGGATCAGAGTAAATGAATAAAATTAGTGAAGTGTGGTTTTCCACTAGTAAGCATGTGGCCCTCTGAATATCAAAGTTTCTTAAAGTATTGGTTTAGCTAATTCTTTTGATTTTTAGGACTATTTTACTTATAGGTGAGAATACTTTGATATAAAGACCGCTCTTTTCTTCTTTGCCTTGGGTTCTAGGAAATGGTCATGGAAAATTGTTAGCTTTTATTTAATGTCACTCATCTTCAGGAATTATACACATATGCGCCCTCCTGCACATTCCACTGTACCCAACTTAATTATATGATAATTCTTGTGTATATCCTTAAAGATATTAAGTAAATTGCATAATTTTTTTTTACAAGGCAGTGTTTGTCATGGTCAAAAACAAATTGTGAATGTGTATTTCCCAGAAAAGAATATTGAAAGTCTATAATTAGAGAGGTCTTTACTGTTTTCCTGTGCATTCAAAAATTTTTTAATGTAGTTATGTCCCCTTGTTATGAGGATAAATAAATCTGCAAGAATGATCCATTCATTAATTCATTAATTCAGTGAGTATTAAGAGGTTACTATGTGCCAGGAACAATGATGAAAACACTGAAAAAAGTAACAATGATTTCAGAAATATTGCATGATATTTGGCTGTGAAGTCAGTGTTCCTTAATTACATCCATCTCTTTCCTTAACAGTGCTCAACAGAACAGCCAACACAGTCTTGTGAAATGTACTTGTTTAAAAATTTTTATAGATACTGGTCAAGACAATCATCAATAAAAAACCATTTTGTGTAGATGAGGAAATCGTGAAACAGGACAATTAGAGGACTCCTCTAACATTTTCCCTATGAGACTTATTTCATTATCCAAGTCATTATCTCCTTCATTACCCATTGTGATTAAATGCGTTTCCTCAGGAGGTAGTAAGTCCTAATCAGTGGAAGCGTAAAAGCACCGCGTGTTGCTGATGTACATTTTGTAGTTGGGGCAATCTTGGCGGTTTCTTCTAATTCTGGGGTTATAGAAATGCTCTGAATCTGGTCATGTGCAATGATATTAAGAATTAATTATATAAAAGATCTGAACAAATGGAGACATTTAGTTATTTCTGGGTAGGGAGATAATTCAGTTTTTAAATTATTCTGTATATTCAAGAAAATTCCAATAAAAATGCCTAGGGTCCCTTTTAAAATAAACTTGACAACTTGATTTCAAAGTTCACTTGGAAGTGAAAGTGTTTGATACTAGACAGAATAGTTGTGGTGGTGCATTTTGCCCTATCATACTAAAAAGCCATGCTACTTAAAACAGTGTGGCAGTTTTGTAACAATAAATAAATTAGTTAAACATGAGCCATCCAGAAGCAAATCTTTACATATATGAGAATTTAATATAAAAAGGATACATTTCCAACCAAAAGAGAGAGAGAAACTAGTAAGTGGTCTATTGCTATTTGTTTCCAAAAAAGAATTATGGATCTGCTTCCTCTCACACACAAACATACATTTTATGTGTGTTACAAATTTTGCTGTAGAGTATGTATAAAAGTACTATGTGAAATACTGGAGACTTTTTTTTTTTTTTTTTTTTTTTTTTGAGATGGAGTCTCGCTCTGTCACCCAGGCTGGAGTGCAACTCCACTTCCCAGGTTCAAGGGATTCTCCTGTTTCAGCCTCCCGAGTGGCTGGGACTACAGGTGTGTGCCACCACGCCTGGCTGATTTTTGTATTTTTAATATAGACAGGGTTTCACCTTGTCAGCCAGGATGGTCTCTATCTCCTGACCTCCTGATCCACCTGCCTTGGCCTCCCAAAGTGCTGGGATTACAGGCATAAGCCACTGCACCCAGCCTGGAGACTTTTTTTTTAAAAAAAATATATACATGCATACACACACACACACACACACACATTTCACTTTTATGTATATATATATATATATACAATTGCACTTTAGGTTCTGGGGTACATGTGCAGAACATGCAGGATTGTTACATAGGTATATACATGGCAATATGGTTTGTTGCCTCCATCCCCCCGTCACCTATATCTGGCATTTCTCCCCATTTTATCCCTCCCCAACCTCCCTACCTCCCCCATCCCTCCCCAATTCCCCTCAGCAGACACAGTGTGTGATGCTTCCCTCCCTGTGTCCATGTGTTCTCATTGTTCAACACCTGCCTATGAGTAAGAACATGCGGTGTTTGATTTTCTGTTCTTGTGTCAGTTTGCTGAGAATGATGGTTTCCAGATTCATCCATGTCCCTACAAAGGACACAAAGTCATCATTTTTTGTGGCTGCATAGTATTCCATGCTGTATATGTGCCACATTTTCCTTGTCCAGTCTATCATTGATGGGCATTTGGGTTGGTTCCAGGTCTTTACTATTGTAAACAGTGCTGCAATGAACATACATGTGCCTGCGTCTTTACAATAGAATGATTTATAATCCTTTAGATATATACCCAGTAATGCTTTTACAATAAACTTCTGGGAAAGGCCTTCCTCAGTGTAGCATAAAACATAAAAATCACCAAAGACAAGATGGACAGGTATAACTACATACAAATGTAAAACTCTTGTCATTCCCTTGTCATATCTGTTCTCTCTACGGATTTTTATTGAGTGCTATTATGTTCCAGGCATTACTCTAGATTCTGAATATAGTGTGAACAAAATGCATATGCTTCTTGCCGCTAAGCTTAAGCAAAACATTTTTCAAAATGCTTATGTTTCCTGTTATCATGAGTCTTATAATCTAGTAGCAAAGATAGAAAATAAACAAGCAAATAAAAACATAATTACTAATTGTGGTAAGTTGTTTGAAGGTAATTACTAAATGTGAAATGTTGCCATGAGAGAATATAACTTGGAAAAGCTGTATCGAATAAAATGGGCAGGGAAGGCTTCTCTAAACTTATATACAAACTGAAGAATATGAGGCCCCGAAGAATAATAAGGAGCCAGCCATTAGGAAAGGAGAATGTTCTGGGAAGAGAGACCAGAATATCTGAAGACCCCAAGTCTGGAAGACTCCCTGTTTTTTTCATTTGTTTGTTTTGATTTTTGAGACAGGATCTCATTTTATTGTTCAGACTAGAGTTCAGTGGCACGATCTCAACTCACTGCAACCTCCGCCTTTCAGGCTGAAGTCATCCTGCTTAAGCCTCCCAAGTAGCCGGGACTACGGTTGTGTGCCACCATGCCCAGCTAATTTTTGTATTTTTAGTAGAGATGGGTTTTGCCATGTTGGCAAGCCTGGTCGTGAACTACTGGACTCAAGTGATCTGCCCGCCTCAGCCTCCCAACATGCTGGGATTACAGGCGTGAGCTACTGTGCCCAGCTCAAGGGGTAATAACTTCTGGGTGTTGCCCATGGCAAAGGTGAACTGACATGGCGTACAAGTAAGTGCGTCTTACAGAAAGCTGCTTCTGCCTCCTCTCTGTTTTAGCTAGTCCTCAATTTGGTCTGGTGTCTGAGTCGTACCTCTGGAGTCTAGACCCACCCCCTACCTCACTTTCTCTATATCAGCAATAAGGCTATTTTGCTTTCTTATCATTTGTGTGTTCAAGGGAGTAGCACTTTTAATTTCCTTCAAGAACATTTCCTTCGTATTCACCAGTTGGTTAACTGTTTGATGCAGGACGCCTAGTTTTTGGCCTATGTCAACTTTTGGCCTCCATTATTTCTAGCTTTTGATTTTTACACGTAGATGCCATTGTAAGGGTATTAATCGTCCTAATTTCAATAGTGTGTTTCAAGGAATAGAGAAGCCCAAAAAGAGGGAGAGAGATGAGGTTAAGCCTGGTCAGTGGCACAGTCAGAACACACGCAGCATTTTTTGGTTAAGTTCATTGTCTTATGGGGCACAGTTTGTGGCACCCCAAACAATTACAATAGTAACATCAGAGATCACTGATCACTGATAACTCTAACAGATATCATAATAATGAAAGAGTTTTAAATATTGTAAGAAGTACCCAAATGGGACACAGAGACACAAAAGAAGCCCCTGTTGTTGGGAAAATTGTGCTGATGACTTGCTAGGCACAGGGTTGCTGCAAACCTTCACTCTGTTAAGAATTTGCTATTGCAGAAGCACAATAAAGTGAAGTGCAATCAAATGAAGTCTGTGTTATTCCCTTATTGTGATAGAATCATTTCTTGTGTCTCCATGAGAAGGCCGTATGAGATGTAAACACTCTGCATCTTTGAATCTCTGAAAATATCTTTATCTATACTCACATTTGGTGGTTTGGCTGGGTAGAAGACTCTAAGTTGAAACTAATTTTACTTCAGAGTTTGGAATGTATCAATTATCTTCCACCTGTGTTTCAGTGAGTAATCGGATTTGTGTGATTTCTGTTTCTTTGTAGTTTACCTTTAAAAAAAAAATCTGAAGAGTATTTAGGGTTTTATCTTTCCATTACATGTTTTATTTGGGAACTATATCGATGAACTATATCTTCAAGTTCTTTGTTGCTTTTTTGTAGCACCATGGCCGCCTTTTAGGGGTAAAATGTTTTCTTCAATCTGGTTGTGTGTGTGGGGTGTGTGTGTGTAATGTGTATGTGTTTAGTTCTTGTCTTTTTCGTCCTGAATTATCTGTTTCTTCTGGGATCTTGTTTGTTTATTTTGGCATCCTTCACATGATGTAAGTTTTCAATAAATATCTGGTGATTGCCACATGCTCCTGTATATTTAAGAAAGAAGCTATAAAATGTTTTTTGGTAACTCTATGCAGAAGGGCTTTTCAACTTAGGGAGAGTTAATTATTATGCTTTCATTCAAAAGTCAGAAGTTTGCTCTGGGGACATTATACAATTATAAATGGCATAATGGATGAAGCAAATAAAAGTCATAAATCTGTATGCACCAAACACAACAGCTAATTACATAAATGCAAGAGCTATTATAAATGCAAGTAGACTTTGACGAAATTACAGTTACAGTGAGCTGTTTCATTGATTTGTGCCTCAGAATTAGACAACTCTACTAGACAAAAATAAGGTTACAAGGGATGTGATAATAAAAATAAACACACAGAGACATCTATCTCTTGAATAGAGAATATGCACCTTAAAACATGCCCATAAAATATTTACAAGAGTGGATCATGTACTAGACCAAAACAAAAATCTTAATGCATTAAAAGTGAATGGTGAAACTTGAAAGCATTATGCTAAGTGAATAATCCAGAAACAAAAGGCCAAATATTGCATGATTGCACTTATGTGAGGTACCTAGAGTAGTAGTCAAATTCATAAAGATGGAAAGTAGAATGGTGTTGCCAGGGTCTGAGAGGAGCAGGGAATGGGGAGTTAGTGCTTTATGTGTATAGAGGCTCAGGGAAGATGAAAACGTTCTGTAGGCAGATTAGTGGTGATGGTTGTATAACAATGTGAACGTACTTAATGCCACTGAACTTTGACATAGCAATGGTTAAAATGGGAAATTTTATGTTGTTGAATATTTTACCAACATTAAAAAATTATAATCCCTAAAATGCTATACAGACAGACATTTTATAGGTCACATTATCTGATAATAAGCTAATAGAATTTATAATGTTTAAAAATTATTTTTAAAAATGTTTATTAAATAATTTAAAATGATCCTCCATATTAAATACTTAGGCATGTTTCTGAGAAATATTCCTGGGTGGCCCTTATATAAAAAGTAAATTGAAAAGGAAATATTGCCTTTTAGAAAACAATAAAAAGGGACAGCTTCATGCCCAGATCCACAGGAAACAGCAAAAATTTTGTTTAATGAAAACATGCAGCCTTAAATGCTTTTTTAATTGAATAATTAAGATGAAAAGTAAATCTAAGAGAGATTTCTGTTCCGTGTAATATGGTGCTAATTTTCCCCACAGTCACCACCAAATCACACTATTTTTTACTATTTAAAGAATTAGTAGATTTTAGAAGTTCATGTGGACGTTTAAAGAAACAAAGTGCTCTATTCTGATTGTGTCCTCCCGAAATTCACATGGTGGTCTCGATCCTCAATGTGATGGTATTTGGAGGTGAAGTCTTTGAGAAGTAAATAGGTCGTAGAGGTAGAACGTCATGAATGGTGTTGGTGCTCTTTTTTTTTTTTTTTTTTGGAAATAATAAGCCAAAAACATTTAATGATGTGTAATTAATAATCCAGGGAAGAGACCAAAAGGAAAATGAATCTAACTTATTTGAAAACGTTGCCCATACCTGGATTTGCTGCAAGCTGGGCTGCCCCTAGGGTGTGTAGGGTGCCGGGCACAATTTTTCTTTCTTTCTTTCTTTCTTTCTTTCTTTTTTTTTTTTAACTGTTTTATTTTTTATTTTTCTTACATGTTCTTCACATGTACCCCAAAACCTAAAATGCAATAAATAAATAAAATTTAAAAAAATTAAAAAATGATGCCCTTTTAAGAAAGAGACAAGAGAGAGATGATCTCTCTCTGCCATGTGAAGACACACCAAGAAGGCATCTGTCTGCAAATCAGGAAGAGAGCCCTCACCAGTAAAAACATTAGTTGGCACCATCATCTTGGACTTCCTAGCCTTCAGAACTGTGAGGAATTTCTCATGAATCAAATTACATTTTGTTTTAGATACCTAGTCTATGATATTTTTGTGATAGCCCAAATTGACTAAGACACAAAGTAAATGAAAGTTTAATTTTCTTTGACTTTGGGTCCTTCATATGGTAAAACTTAATAGGACTTTGGTTGATTGTAGCATTTATTATTTACAGTTGTCAAAGCTGAAGAATGAAAGAGCAAGCTTGCAAGATCAGTTACGTGATTATGAAGAGCGAATTAATTCTATGACTTCTCACTTCAAAAATGTTAAACAAGAGCTCTCAATTACACAGGTACAGTGACTGAAATTTACGTTGATTATGTTATGTGTATTCATGGAACATCTCACAGTGTATTTACATCTGTGATTTTTAGAGTTATAATAGGAAACTTTAACATAATTAAACTATTGTGAACAAAGCCTTGAACATGAAAGTATATAGAAAAAGGCTTAGAGGAACTAACTACTGCTCCAATTTTAAACAAAAGATCAATCTATATGAAAGAAGAAATCATTATTCAAACCATCTGTATTAGACAGCAGGTTATTTGAGAAGGGTACAGTGTTGGTGGTGAGAAATAATGGCCTAATATAATACATAATAAAATTTCTGTCTCCTTTTTAATTTTTCAGCATCACTCACTAGGGCCATTTTGAGTGGAGGCCAGTAGTCTACACATATATGCATTTTAGCATAGTTCAAGAATTGAAATTTGTAATAATCCTGAGATTAAAAAGCTTGATTATACTTAAGACTTTATTTAGGTAACTGGAAAACATAAGGCATCTTAGAAATGTTAGCATAAATATAATAAAAGTTAAAACTTGGAGTGATTAAGCTTCTGTTTTATAAATAATCTAAGTATAGAAACTCATTCCCTAATGATGCTCAGCAAACTAGGCAGCCCAGCAAGCAGCATTGGAAAGTTTTCTAACTTCTATCTCAAGCTAGTTTTTTTTTTTTTTTTTTTTTTTTTAAAGTGCATCTACTGTCTGAGAAATAGTATGCAGTTTCAAAAAATGAACAGTGCTATATTTTAAAAAGCAATTTATAATAAATATATAGACAAGCATTTCATTGCTTACAAGTCCTATTAGATATTTACAAATTTAATAAACTTAAAAGCAAACTCAGAATTCTTGACTCTCAATGTGATTGAGTAACTGATAAACTATTTGGAATGACACTTTTTCTTAAGTTATTAAAGTACCAAGCTGGGGATTTGAGAGGCAGAGACTCTGTGGTTATATCTTATTATCATCAAACCTCAAATAAATAGAGTAACAGGGACAAAAGAATAGTAAACGTCCAACAATGGCAGCTTCTGTAAAGTTAATACTAAGTGATAACTTTGAAGTACTTTAAAATTAGTTAACACATACTCTTTTATTACATAACACTGAACACAAAAACCTGATTATATGCTAATACATTCTAGGGAATATTTACAGCCATTGGTGTTTAAATAATTATTTAAAAATACTGTTAATCGGAATGCGAGTCTGTTAATTGGAATATGTGATCAATTCATGTAAAAGATCTCATTTCTTAATTATTTGTTAATTGATATTTCTTATTTGTAGATAATAAGTTTTAAGTGTAACCAAAGCTTTGGTTTTCTTTGGTTTTCCTAGATCAACATAGTATCTGAAAACTATTGACAGTATTTTCTCCTATCACAGTTTGACTTTCTTACAACCAGTGAGCCGCTCAGTCTAATGTAACGTAGGTTTTAGAGTACTGGAATTAATAATACTTAATGTAAACAGTTTATTTTGTTTTAATTTAATGGATTATCATAAATATTTTAATTAAAAATTTCTGAAATTTTAAACGCCTTTTCATCTTGTATGTTACTCTGTAGTCTTTTTGCAAAGCCAGGGAGCGGGAGACTGAAAGCGAAGAACATTTTAAGGCCATTGCGCAAAGAGAACTGGGACGAGTGAAAGAAGAAATTCAGTGTCTGGAAAATGAGATGGCTTCAATACTGGAAAAGAAAACTGACAAAGAAGTATATGTTGAAATATTACTTAAAATTCTATTACTTACTTAAATTACTCAAAATTCTTCTGCTTATTCCTCTGTCACCAAATGAGCATTGACTTCCTTTTTTCCTGTACGGGAAAGGCATACATTAGTTTCCTAGTGTTTACTCATATGTTTCGGACAATGAAAGGCACATGGAGCTGTCATTTGAATGAAACAATGATAGAATATTACAGTTTTCCCGTTATTCATTCACCAGCTACTTACTGAGGCTTGTGTGCAAAGTATCATGCTTCTTAGCTGTTGTAAAATACTAGCCATGGTTTATATGTGTTATATTTTTAACAGCCACATTTAAAAAAATCACTTTTAGTTTTGAATTTCATTTAAAGTGTTGACCTTTCATATTGATTTATCAGTTTTGTGACTCCAACATTAAACTACTTTAACCTATTTACTCTCTTTTCTTTAGTTTATAGTTAATTGATTTGGGACCTCTTTCCAAATTTTGATTTTTCTCTTTACATGTGCATATACATATCAAATACATACATACATATTCTGTGATGTATTTGTATATAATTACATACTAATTTGTTTATGGAGTATTCTCTGTTTCTTTATGAGTCTAGATTTTTTAAATGACTAAATGTACAGAAATGTTTTTATCTCTTTTACTATAGTTACTTCAGTTAGAAGTGCTTCCGAAATTGGTCTCTAAGAGTCTTCTTAGGGGCAAACGATAGGATTGGAAATGGGGCTGAAGGACACTTGTCTTGGATTTGAGTTGGCCTACCAAACATATTATTTTAACTTTGATTGCACGTGTATGTGGGGTGGCTTTGGTAGAATGATGAATGCAATTGCTGCGAGGGAGCTACCTTAAAGCCTACAGCCTTTTAAAGCAGCCTCTGGCTCAACTACTGTTCTGGACTTTGTCTAGTCATCTCTCCTCTGTTTTTCAATGAAAGAATTAAGATGTAAGTATAATAGTTACATCATTAAAATAGGGCATATTATAAACATCTGGAAGGCAGGGACAGGATTTCTTCTTTTTAATTAGGCTCCATCGTATATAAAGGTATATTTTATTTCAGTTTGTATAGTAAATAATGATTTGTAATCTCCCCTTCTCTCTCTCTTTGGAAATTAGAATGGCATATTTAAAGCCACTCAAAAACTGGATGGTTTGAAATGCCAGATGAACTGGGACCAGCAGGCACTGGAGGCCTGGTTGGAAGAATCAGCTCATAGAGATAGTGACGCGCTCACGCTTCAGAAGTATGCACAACAAGATGATAATAAGATCAGGGTGAGGAATTACAAACTGTAACTGTTAGGTTTTCTCTAAATCTGTAGTATGTCAACCTGTTTACCTAAAGTTGTGCTTGTGATTTTTAAGGCAGCAGTTCTTAAACTTCTGAGTCAGAAGCTTCTTGGAGAAACTAATAAAGCCAAATGTCTTCTCTGTAGAAAAAATGACTATATTCAAATACCCATAACATACTGCTGACTGTTTTACAGATTCTCTGATTCTCTCAGATTATTTGAGAATCCATGGACCACAGGTTAAAAATATCCTGATTTATAAGGATCCTCAGAAGCGTTTCAGAAGAGAAAGTTTTCTACTGAACTATTTTAATATATTTTGGCTATTTTGCCTAAAATGTAGTTTGAATATTACAAGTAGTTTTTGCTGATTTGAGACTGTTGCTATTGATGATAAGAATCACTTAAAATCTACTTATATCTGGTGACACTAAAGTTGGTATTATGAAACGTTATTTTCTAGTAGATTTAATAACAAATCCATTATCTTAAAACAAATAGCAAATTTTAACTTAATCTTTTTCTAATTTACTTTAAAAATATTAAAAGTCATTTTAGAAACAATTGAGGCTTTTTATGCTGCTGTAGGCAAACACATTAGATTAGCTTTTGGGGGTTAAAAGATAAGGAAGATATTTATTATTTCATAGTTGTTTTAGATACTAAATAAATGTATATATATATAGTGTAATACTATTTAATGTTAGATCTACTTACAACTTTTAAATTATTGAATGAGAATTATAAATATCTTTGTATGTAATTACATCATAGGCACTGACTCTGCAGTTAGAGAGACTAACTTTGGAACGTAATCAGAAAAGAAAGATACTTGACAATGAACTTACAGAGACTATAAGTGCACAGGTTAGTTTAAGAAAGATTTTTATTTCCTAATTTTAAAGGTGCTGTTTACAAAACCACTTAAATTTACAGAAATGTTGTTTGCTCTCTATTTGACAGTTAGAATTGGATAAAGCAGCGCAAGATTTTCGGAAGATTCATGATGAAAGACAAGAACTCATTAAACAATGGGAGAGCACAATAGAACAGATGCAGAAGAGGGATCAAGACATCGATAACTGTGCTTTGGTAAAGTAGTTTGGTCCTTGTCATTTCAGCCGTATTTGTCTCTTTTGTATTTAACTCATTGTTCCAAATGTAAATTACATTGTTATTTGAAAGCCACTTTCGTAGCAGTCTTCAGTAGTTTTGGTAAGTATTTTTGAAAGCTGACTCTATACCCATTTGGAAATGTGGTGAAGATTATTTGCTTGCAGTGTTGTAACTCCAACACTGGATCCCGTCATCTCTGAATTGTGGAACGAGAGTCAGTAGTTACTGTTCTTGCAATAACACCAATGCCCTGACTTACACATGGCCATCCAAGGTGTCTGGGATTTAATGTGTCTGCTCTCTGGAGTAAGTTGCAGTAGGGAAATGAACTTTCATGAATAGCCAAGGAACAAGAGGAGAGTCAGCAAAGAAACCTAGAGGGCAATAAAGTTTCACTTTTGAAGCGGAGACACCAATAATGACATAGAAGCGGGGAATAGTGCACTGATAACACAGACCACGTGTTATCTCTTGTTATTTTCAGAGGTAAATTAGGAGAATGTTTTTGGAAAATCATTAGTGAATGAAATAGTGGGGAGTAGAAGTAGGAAGATTTGAGAAAGAGAAGGAATTCAGGAGAAAAGGAGGCAGGTGAGAAGATGGAGTTCAATTCCATCTACTCCATGGAAATGTATCTGGCAAGCAGCTCAGGCTGCTGGGAGTTTAAATTCTGATATCTGGGTGTGATTTAATTTTGGCTGTATTTTCAATTTCTGTAAGTCACCGACATTTTATCAACAAAACGGTTTATACCTCCCAAGGAGGGACAAAGGAGAACTAATCTTAACTATGAGGTTCTCTTAATTCTTAATGCTGATATTACTATTTCTTTCTTTCTTTCTTTTGTTTCGTTTCTTTTTTTTTTTTTTTGAGACAGAGTTTCACTCTTGTCACCCAGGCTGGAGTTCAATGGCGTGATCTTGGCTCATTGCAACCTCTGCCTCCCAGGTTCAAGCAATTCATCTGCCTCAACCTCCCGAGTAGTTGGGATTACAGGCTCCTGCCACCAGCCCAGCTAATTTTTATACTTTTTTAGTAAAGACCAGGTTTCACCATGTTGGCCAGGCTGATCTCGAACTCCTGACCTCAGGCAACCTGCTTACTTCACCCTCCCATGGTGCTGGTATTACAGTTCTGTTCCACTGAGATTATATATATATATATATATATATATATATATATATATATATATATATATATAATCATCTGTTTTGGTGCTGGTACCATGCTGTTTTGATTACTGTAGACTTGCATAGCATGAAGTCAGATAGCATGATGCCTCCAGCTTTGTTCTTTTTGCTTAGGATTGTCTTGGCTATACTGGCTCTTTTTTGGTTACATATAAAATTTAAAGTAGTTTTTTTCTAATTCTGTGAAGAAAGTCAATGGCAGCTTGATGGGGATAGCATTGAATCTATAAATTACTTTGGGCAGTATGGCCATTTTCATGATATTGATTCTTCCTATCCATGAGCATGGAATGTTTTTCCATCTGTGTCCTCTCTTGTTTCCTTGAGCAGTGGTTTGCAGTTCTCCTTGAAGAGGTCCTTCACTTCCCTTGTAAGTTGTATTCCTAGGTATTTTATTCTCTTGGTAGCAATTGTGAGTGGGAGTTCACTCATAATTTGGCTCTCTGTTTGTCTGTTACTGGTGTATAGGAATGCTTGCAACTTTTGCACATTGATTTTGTATCCTGAGACTTTGCCGAAGTTGCTTATCAACTTAAGAAGGTTTCGGGTTGAGATAATGGGGTTTTCAATGTATAGAATTATGTCATCTGCAAACAGAGACAATTTGATTTCCTTTCTTTCTATTTGAATACCCTTTATTTTTTTCTCTTTCCTGATTGCTCTGGCCAGAACTTCCAATATTGTGTTTAATAGAAGTGGTAAGAGAGGGCATCCTCTTCTTGTGCCAGTTTTCAAAGGAAGTACTTTCAGTTTTTGACCACCATTCAGTATGGTATTGGCTGTGGGTTTGTCATAAATAGCTATTATTATTTTGAGATATGTTCTATTGATACCAAGTTTATCAAGAGTTTTTAGCATGAAGGGCTGTTGAATTTTGTCAAAGAATTTTTCTGCATCTATTGAGATAATCGTATTTTTTTTCATTGATTCTGTTTATGTGATGGATTACATTTATTGATCTGCATATGTTGAACCTGTCTTGCATCCCATGGATCAAGCCGACTTGATCATGATGAAGCTTTTTGATGTGCTGCTGGATTCGATTTGCCAGTATTTTATTAAGGATTTTTTCATCAATGTTCATCATGGATATCGGCCTAAAATTTTCTTTTTTGTTGTTGTTGTGTGTCTTCCTGGTTTTGGTATCAGGATGATGCTTGCTTCATAAAATGAGTTAGGGAGGAGTCCCTCTTTTTCTTTCATTTGCAATACTTTCAGAAGGAATGGTGACAGCTCCTCTTTATACCTCTGGTGGAATTCAGCTGTGAACCCATCTGGCCCTGGACTTTTTTGGTTGGTATGCCTCAATTTCGGAACTTGTTATTGGTCTATTCAGGGATTCGACTTCCTCCTGGTTTAGACTTGGGAGAGTGTATGTGTCCAGGAATTTATCCTTTTCTTTTAGATTTTCTAGTTTATTTGCATAGAGTTGTTTGTAGTATTCTCTGATGGTAGTTTGTATTTCTGTGGGATCAGCAGTGATCTCCCCTTTATAATTTTCATCGTATCTATTTGATTCTTCTCTCTTTTCTTCTTTATTAGTCTGGCTAGCACTCTATTTTATTGATCTTTAAAAAAAAAAAACAACTTCTGGAATCATTGATTTTTTCGAAGGGGTTTTCATGTGTCTATCTCCTTCAGTTCTGCTCTAATCTTAGTTACTTCTCGTCGTCTTCTAGCTTTTTAATTTGTTTGCTCTTGCTTCTCTAGTTCTTTTACATGTGATGTTAGGGTGTTGATTTTAGGTCTTTCTTGCTTTCTCTTGTGGGCATTTAGTGCTATAAATTTCCCTCTAGATACTGCTTTAAATGTGTCCCAGAGATTCTTGTGTGTTATGTCTTTGTTCTCATTGGTTTCAAAGAACTTATTTATTTCTGCCTTAATTTCATTACCCAGTAGTCATTCAGGAGCAGATTGTTCAGTTTCAATGTAGTTGTGTGGTTTTGAGTGAGTTTTTTAATCCTGAGTTCTAATTTGATTGCACTGTGGTATGAGAGACTGGTTGCTATGATTTCCATTCTTTGCATTTTCTGAAGAGTGTTTTACTTCCTAGAATAAGTGCAATGTGGTGCTTAGAAGAGTGTATATTCTGTTGATTTGGGGTGGAGAGTTCTGTAGATGTCAATTAAGTCCACTTGGTCCAGATCTGAGTTCAAGTCCTGGATATCCTTGTTAATTTTCTGTCTCATTGATCTGTCTAATATTGACAGTGGGGTGTTAGTCTCCCACTATTAATGTGTGGGAGTCTATATCTCTTTGTAGGTCTTTATGACCTTGCTTTATGAATCTGGGTGCTCCTGCATTGGGTGTATATATATTTAGGATAGTTAGCTCTTCTTGTTGGATTGATCCCTTTACCATTATGTAATGCTCTTCTTTGACTCTTTTGATCTTTGTTGGTTTAAAGTCTGTTTTATCAGAGACTAGGATTGCAACCCCTTCTTTTCTTTTCTTTCTTTTTTTTTTTTTTGCTTCCCATTTGCCTGGTAAATATTCCTCCATCCCTTTATTTTGAGTTTGTATGTGTGATGTGGTAAAAGCCCCATAAAACCGCATACCTTAATCATACCTCAGCTTTCTATTGAAACTGCCCTCTGTAACCCAAATGTGAGTAGTCCAAACCCATGCCATCTCGGCCCCTGCGACTTGTAATAAGTAATTAAGGACTGTAATTTCCACCCTACCCAGACAATGTGTAAACAAATGCTAATCTTGACTTTTGTGAACCACTTAAAGTAACAATCAAAATGTCCAAAGTCCCCTGGCCCTCAGAATGTCTACAACCCCTCACCCTCATCTTCGCCCAGGAATCCACTGGAATGTCCCAAGCCCCTCACCCTCATCTCCGCCCAGGAGGTGATTTACAGAATCCACTAGCCCTCAGAACGTCTGAAGCCCCTCACCCCGACTCCTGCCCCTCACCCTCATTCCTGAGGTGGTTTTACAGGTATAAAAGGTCTTGACACCGTCCTTTCGGGGCCACAGGTTAGAGAGACGCGAGTCCTCTGTGGCCACCAGCAATAAAGACCCTGCAATTTGGCATACTTTTGTCTTGGTGTTGACTTTCTATGCTCGGGCCAGTACAACATATGTGTGTCTTTGCATGTAAAGTGTGTCTCCTGAATACGGCACACTGATGGGTCTTGACTCTTTATCTTGTTTGCCAATCTGTGTCTTTTAATTGGGGCATTTAACCCATTTACATTTAATGTTAATATTGTTATGTGTGAATTCGATCCTGCCATTATGATGCTAACTGGTTATTTTGCCTGTTAGTTGATGCAGTTTCTTTATAGTGTCAATGGTCTTTACAGTTTTGTATGCTTTTGCAGTGGCTGGTACTGGTTTTTCTTTTCCATGTTTAGTGCTTCCTTCAGGAGCTCTTGCAAGGCAGGCCTGGTGGTGACAGAATCTCTCACCATTTCTTGTCTGTAAAGGATTTTATTTCTCCTTTGCTTATGAGGCTTCGTTTGGCTGTATATGAAATTCTGGGTTGAAAATTCTTTTCTTTGAGGATGTCGAATATTGGCCCCCACTCTCTTCTGGCTTATAGGGTTTCTGCAGAGAGGTCCACTGTGAGTCTGATAGGCTTCCCCTTGTGGGTAACACGACCTTTCTCTCTGGCTGCCCTTAACATTTTTTCCTTCATTTCAACCTTCGTGAATCTGACAATTATGTGTTTTCGGGTTGCTCTTTTTGAGGAGTATCTTTGTGGTGGTCTCTGTATTTCCTGAATTTGAATGTTGATCTGTCTTGCTACGTTGGGGAAGTTCTCCTGGATAATATCCTGAAGAGTGTTTTCCAACTTGGTTCCATTCTCCCCATCACTTTCAGGTACACCAGGCAAATATAGGTTTGGTCTTTTCACATAGTCCCATGTTTTTTTGAGACTTTGTTTATTCCTTTTCATTCTTTTTTCTCTTATCTTGTTTTCTCACCTTACTTCATTGAGTTCATCTTCAATCTGTGGTATCCTTTCCTCCTCTTGATTGATTCGGCTATTGATTCTTGTGTATGCTTCATGAAGTTCTCAGGCTGTGTTTTTCAGCTCCGTCAGGTCATTTATGTTCTTCTCTAAACTGGTTATTCTAGGTTAGCAATTTGTCTAACCTTTTTTCAAGGTTCTTAGCTTCCTTGCATTGGGTTAGAACATGCTTCTTTAGCTTGAAGGAGTTTGTTATTACCTCCTTTCTGAAGCCTACTTCTGTCAGTTCATCTAACTCATTCTCTGTCCAGTTTTGTGCCCTTGCTGGCGAGGACATGTGATCCTTTGGAGGAGAAAAGGCATTCTGGTTTTAGAATTTTAAGCCTTTTTGTGCTGGTTTCTCTCTATATTCGTGGCTTTATCTAATTTTGGTGATTGATGTTGGTGGCCTTTGAAAGGGGTCTCTGAGTGGCTGTCCTTTTTGTTGATGTTGATGCTATTCCTTTCTGCTTGTTAGTTTTCCTTCTAACAGTCAGGCCCTCTGCTGCAGGTCTGCTGGAGTTTGCTGGAGGTCCACTCCAGACCCTGTTTGCTTGGGTATCACCAGTGGAGGCTGCAGAACAGCAAATATTGCTGCCGGTTTTTACTTTCATACTGTTACCAGAAAGGGGTCCTGATCCAGACCCCAAAAGTGTTCTTGGATCTCATGCAAGAAAGAACTTGAGGCAGATCTGTAGAGTAGAAGTGAAAGTAGGTTTACTAAGAAAGCAAATGAATAAAAGAATGGCTATTCCATAGGCACAGCAGCCCTGAGGGCTGGTGGTTGCCCATTTTTATGGTTATTTCTTAAGTACATGCTAGACAAGGGGTAGGTTATTCATGCCTCCCCCTTTTAGATCATGTAGGGTAACTTCCTGATGTTGCTATGGCATTTGAAAATTGTCACGGTGGGAGTGTCTCTTAGCATGCTAATGCATTATAATTAGCATGTAATAAGCAGTGAGGGTGACCAGAGGTCACTCGCTTTGCCATTTTGGTTTGGGGGTTTTTAGCTGGCTTCTTTACTTTAACCTTTTTTTATCAGCAAGATCTTTGTGACTTCTTCTTGAGCCAACCCCTACCTCATCTTTGACTTAGATTACCTGTCTGGGATGCAGCCCAATAGGTCCCAGCCTTATTTTACCTTACTCCTCTTCGAAGGAGTTTCTCTGATTCAAAAGCCTCTGACAGGCGCATATTTGAGGGTGGCAAATTGTATCCCCTAACTGATATCACACTCTTTTGTTCCTCTTCCTGCAAACAATTCATTCTTGCCTTCTCAGTGTTTTCTTAGCAGGGGTCTGGTCATAAAATCCTGAAATTGTGTTTTTAAAAGAAACAATGTATAGAAGCAGAAAAATATTTTTCTGCTATGCTTTTATTACAGTGTAGAAATTTTAAAATATTACTTAGTGTTACCTATATGAAAACTTTATGATGAATAGCTCTGTTAAGTACGATGTTGAGGTAGAATTAAAGCGTCTGATTAAGTGGTAGAAAAGCATGAGGCAAGAAACTCTGGATTCACGTTTTGAAATATTTGAACTTAGGGGGTTTTGACGTGTATCTTGAGTGAATGAACACAGTAAATATTTAGAATGCTTCGATTATAGAATGATAATTCTCTAACTGAACAACTTAAAGATTGGATTAAACAACTTTAAAATTAAACAACTTAAAAATTTCCTTTTTAAAATGTGTTATATCTCACATATATATGTATAGTATACTAATATGTATACTTGCAGCATTTCTAAAACCTACTGATTTCAGAACACATATCCCCCTTCCACAATCTCCTGTGATTAGTTGTTTGAAATGACCTCATTTTGGAATACATGTAAGTAATACATATTAGGGTAATACTTTTTTCTAATTCATCTAACTTACCGCCACCAGCATCACTTGTAAAAACATAATCTTTTTATTACCCAGCTTTAAAATCTTTTTGTTTTACATTGCTTAAAAGTTGAGATTTGAATTTTTTCACTGTTTGGCCCTAAATCCTACCTTTCCAGGATTATCCCTTTCATCTGGATCCTAACCCTTTTTAATATATTCCCTTTGCATCCCTGCCTCCCCACCCTCCACTTTAACTACCTTAGAGTATTGATGCAACCCCATTCATGTGTGTAAGCCTGACTCAAATGGTGCCTCTTGGGCAGGCTTCTTTCTTTTCTTCTTCCTTTACTTCTTTCTTCTCCCTTTTCTTTCTTCTTTCTTTCTTTCTCTCTCTCCCTCTCTCTCTTTTTCTCTCTCCCTCCCTCTCTTCCTCCCTCCCTCCCTTTCTTTCTCTCTTTCTTTCTTTTTGTATCTTCCTCACTACCCGCTCTCTCTTTCTCTCTTTTCTTCTTTCCTTCCCTATTCTTGAAAGCCAGGAAGGTGTAGTGTCTTCTAATGACTCCTCTAGGAAGGAATTCGCTATTTCTTTGCACCCGTGGTACTTGCCTACATTTCAGTTACAGTGCTTTGTGCATTCTGTTTATTATTGTCTTGTGATCAGTAAAAGGCCTGAGTGAAGATATGTCTATTAAAACCAATAACTAAAATGCTGTTTTCAAAACATGAAAAAATAACTGGCCTGTAAAATATTTGGAAAGCTTCATTGAAACCCCACTTTCTATGTGAAAAATATTCAACATTGTTACATGTGTAGGTTTTACCTTTCATATATAAAAGCTTAACTGTTTTTCTCATCTTTTTAGCAAAGTTCCAGATATATGAAAGAAAACGTAAACATTTAACAATATGAGTTATAGACATTAATATGTAGTATACTAATATTTTGTTTTATTAATATAAAAGTATTTAAAAATATGTTCTAAGAAGTTTTAGGAAAATAAATACTAAATATAATAGAAAAATAAAAAGTAAATTCCTTTTGGTTTTGTCAGTTTAAACATATTATAAGTAAACACATTTGTTTTAATCCTAGGAATTAGCAAGGATAAAACAGGAAACAAGAGAAAAAGAAAATTTGGTTAAGGAAAAGATCAAGTTTTTGGAAAATGAGATTGGGAATAACACAGAGTATGAGAAAAGAATTTCTGCGGCTGATCGTAATCTCTTAAAATACAGAACGGCATATCAGTACCATGAAGCCAGCAGAATTCAGCTGAAGGATGAGGTATGTCAACTAAAAAAGACTGGGTTTATGTTCATGACAAAGTGCTATGGAATATAAAATAAGCATCAAGTTTTTCCTGTGATTAAGAAACTTCTAGTTTTTTTTTTTTTTTTTTTTTCTTTTTCATGTCTCTTTGTTTTGTGGAACTTTTGGGATACTCTCTGATTAAGCCCCTGGTTAAGCCCTCAGGGTGCCATTCACATCACAGTTGTATGGTTTGCAGACATCTTCTTCCATTCTGTAGGGTGCCTTTTCATATTGTTGGTGGTTCCTTTTCCTTAAATAAACTTTTTAGTTTGATGCAGTTCTCCTTGTTTATTTTTGCTTCTGTTGCCTGTAATTTGATGTCAAATTCAAAACATCATTACAGATACCAATGTCAAGGAGCTTTTCTCGTATGTTTTCTTTAAGAAATTTTACAATGTCAGGTCTTACATTTAAGTCTTTAATTCATTTTGAATTAATTTTTGTGTATGATACCAGAAAAAAAGCCCAATTTCTTTCTTTCTGTCTTTCTGTCTTTCTGTCTTTCTGTCTTTCTGTCTTTCTGTCTTTCTTTCTTTCTTTCTTTCTTTCTTTCTTTCTTTCTTTCTTTCTTTCTTTTTTTTTGCATGTGGCTATCCAGTTTTCTTAACACCATCAATTGAGGAGACTGTCCTTTCCCCATTGTGTATTCTTGAAACCTATGGTGAAAATTAGTTGCTCATGTATGCATGGATTTATTTCTGAGTTCTCTGTTCTGTTCCATTGTTCTGTGTGTCTGGTTTTTTTGTTTGTTTGCCAGTAGAGTCAGCTTTCCTTATCCGTGGATTCTGCATGTGCAGATTCAACCATTGATAAAAAATATTCAGAAAAGAAACCCAATAAAATAACAGTATAGCGATAAAAAGGATACAAATTTTAAAAATGTAACATTTATTTACATAGCATTTACATTGTATTAGGTGTTATAAATAATCAAGAGATTATTTAAAGTATACATTATGATATATATAAGGTTATGTGCAAATACATGTCATTTCATATAAGGAACCTACACATCTGTAGATTATGGTATCTGTGAGGGATTCTGCAAGCAATCCACTGTGTATGTCAGTGGATGAATGCACCATTTTCTTTTGATTACTTTAGCTTTGTAATACAATTTTAAATAAAAAGTATGTTGCCTCCAGCTTTGTTCTTTCTGCTTAAGATTACTTGAGCTATTTGGGATCTTTTATGATTCCGTGTGAATTTCAGAATTTTCTGTTTTGGTGAAGAATAACTTTGGAGTTTTGATATTGTATTGAATCTATCAACTAAATAACAGAGAGAGGCCCGCTAAAAATATTGAGCTTAATTAGGAATGAGCAGGAAATTTGCAGACCCAGGACATACAGGCTATGACAGATCATAGGCATATCTAGGGAGATAAAGGAAGGCACAAGTTTTTAAAGGTAAAATGAGAAAGTTTACCTAACTTGTTTTAAAATAATAATCTTTGACTACAGGGATCAGTAAGGGTAGTGTCAGTCCAAGGCTGATCAGTCCGTTGCTGGCCAGATGTCTTTGTAGAAGGGTTTTTTTTTTTTTTTTGCAACGTTGGTCTTTATGCAAGTCTGTGATTCTCGCAGTGTCTCTTTGGGTAGTTCTCGTTATCTGGCAAATGTGTGAGAACTCTCTCTTCATGGCCTTCCCCAGCTCAGTTTTGTCAGAGTTTGACACAAGTCACTCCATTTTGATTTTGACAAACTTCACAAATACGTAGATCACTTTGAATAGTATGAACCTTTTAACGGTATTAATTTTTCCAGTCCATGAACACAGGATAGCTTTATGTCCTCTACAGTTTCTTTCATCAATGTTTTATAGTTTTTAGTTTGCAGATCTTTTTTTCCTTGGTTAAATTTATTCCTAAGTATTTTATTCTTTTTGATGCCATTGTAAATGGGATTGTTTTCTTGATTTCTTTTTTGGATTGCTTAAGTGTATAGAATGTAACTGATTTTTTCTATTGATCTTGTATACAGAAACCTTGCTGAATATGTCTGTTCTCAGACTATTTGGTGGGGAGTTTAGGGTTTTTGCAAAGGCACTTAATGAAAGAGAATGTGTGTTTCCGGTTTTCTGTTTTAATAATTGTGATTAATTGTAACATGTAGTTTACTATTCATTAACAGTAAAAATATAGTTATTAGAAGGCTGATGTATTAGAATCTTTTGAGATTTTAAAAATCCAATTAAACTTATGATTCTTATGGGCACATATATATCCATTTATCTTGAGTTTGGGAATGTTTTTTCTGAGAAGTTCTAGTGTAATGAGAAATTTCTGCATTTACTTTCAACACATGTGTTCTCTATAATTTGCTAGGATTATACAACAGAACCAATTAAAATTTGATATCAGACCAATATGGAAATCTGTTTATATATTAAATATAAGAAAATGGCTACATTTTTATGGGTGTGATATAGGTTAGAACTTGGGGAGAATAAAACTAAGAAATGAAGTTATAAGATACAGAGTAAATATATAATTTCTGTCTGTTAATGAATAAATAGCTGGATTGTTTAAAAGCCACTGTGAATAGAACTTCCAGTGATTTAGAAGCTCTGAGGAAAAATATTTCCAAGCTAAAGAAGGATGTTCATGAAGAAACAGCAAGGTAAGAAAAAAGCTATTTAAATATGTTTATATTTACTGTATCTGGAAAATTATTAAATACTTAAGACTATTTTTTGGTTAAATGACTGCAAGATTTTAGCTACTACATTATTAAACTTAAAAAATTTTACTCATATTTTCATCACAAATACTCAGAAGCCATATTTTTATGGTCTATTAAATAGTGGTAATAAAAAGGTTTATAGCAAAGAATCTTCAAGTTATACAAATAAATATTAGGATAAACTATTCTTTGTTTGTATTAAATGCTTTTTGGGCTTGTTTTCTATCTTTTTGTGATAAACCTTCTTTAGGTTACAAAAAACTAAAAATCATAATGAGACAATAAAAACAAAATTAAAGGAGATAACTGAGAAAACCATGTCTGTAGAAGAGAAAGCTACCAATCTGGAAGATATGCTCAAGGAGGAGGAAAAAGATGTGAAGGTGAAGTTTAATTTTTTTAAAATCACAGAAAACTTATCAACAGTGAATTAATCAGACTCTTAGAATCAGAGCTTGAGAAGGTCTTATAAGAAGCTGATTTTTTGTATGATCCCATTTATAGTCTGGCTTTGGACATATTTTCATGTATTGCTTCTGAAGATATACTTAGCCTCCTGTCATCGTCATTGTCATCGTCACCTTCTTCTTCTTCTTCTTCTTCTTCTTCTTCTTCTTCTTCTTCTTCTTCTTCTTCTTCTTCTTCTTCTTCTTCTTCTTCTTCTTCTTCTTTTCTTCTTCTTCCTCCTCCTCCTCCTCCTCCTCCTCCTCCTCTTCTTCCTTCTTCTTTCTTCTCCTTCTTCTTTTCTTCTTCTTCTTCCTCTTCCTCTTCTTCCTTCTTTCTTCTTTCTTCTTCTTCTTCTTCTTCGACAAAGTCTTGTTCTTGTTGCCTAGGCTGGAGTGCAATGGCACAATCCTAGATCACTGCAACCTCTGCCTCCTGGGTTGAAGTGATTCTCCTGCCTCAGCCTCCCAAGTAGCTGGGATTATAGGCACATGCCACCACGACTGGCTATTTTTTGTGTTTTTAGTAGAGATGGGGTTTCACCGTGTTGGCCAGGCTCGTCTCAAACTCCTGACTTCAAGTGATCCACCCTCCTCAGCCTCCCAAAGTGCTGGGATTACAGGCATGAGCCACCGTGCCTGTCCTGATGTCTTTTTTAAAAAGGAGCTCCCCCACTGTGCCCTGGATCCCATTCCTGTGTCTCTGCCTTCATCCACATATCTGTTGGCATATTGCATAAATAGCCTGAAAAGTGGCTTTGTTTTACAACTGATTTCTGCTTAATTATCAACATTTGTAATCAAATTCCCATCATCATCTACATTCCTGATTTGTATTTCTTCATCATCTACTGTCTCTTGAACCGCTTGTAATCTGGCAACACGTTTTGGTAAATGGGCTTTGAATTGCTATCACTTTGCAAACTCTGCTGGTACCCGCTTCTACCTGTCTTTTTGGCAAGTTGATGGCATTAAAGCCAATTTTCGAGGAACTGGAAAAGGCTGGTGCACCATTTTCTCTTTGAAAACTTCAAAGTGAACTCTAAGTGTGAACTATAAGTTGTGTGAACTGAGATTACTTCTTTTACTTGTTTTTGGGAGTAAAAAAGGGAGTTGGAGTTGGTGGCAAAATGTCCCAGTATAAAGTTTATATCTCTCAATGTGCTGTAAAATTTCTGAGTAATAAAATCATGCTGCAGTCTTGACCTGAATGGTACTTTGAGTTCAAATTGTACACTATGTTTTGAAAGTTGCAGGGTTTTTTTTTTTCCCTAAGAGCATGATTTCCTGTAACATATGTATTAGTACTTATCATAAATCTGTAAATGCTGTGAAATTTATATGAAATAGACCTTTTCATCACAGAGAATTTAAAACTTCAGACATTTAAGAACTAGCTAAATTAGAAAAATTAATAATATTAGTAGCAGGGTGTACTGATTGTTTTTGAGCAGGGCTGTGTTCATAGTCCTGGGTTTTGTTTTGTTTTGTTTTTTGTTTTTTCCCATTGATGTTGGTTTTTGTTTGTTTGAGAAAATCTCAACCCTATCTTCTTTAGAGATTCACCACTAAGCACTGACTTTAAAACTCTGCTAGACTCTTTGACAGTGAAAATTGTCTGTTGTATGTAAAATAATGCACTGAATATCAGATTACATTTCTTGCTTATGCAAAGATTTAAATGTGTCAGTCACAGACTTGTTTTGTGTCATACTCAGGTTTATTGGTTACTGAAGGAAAACATGTTTATCTGGGTATAAGATCACAAAGGCAAATATTTCAGCATTGAAGAATGATAATTTTCAAATGATTGTGGCATGGTACATCTATTTAAAGCCTAGAACACATTGGTCATGAGGCTACCAGGTCAAGACGGGTTTGCTTCCTGAGAGAGAAGCAGTGGGAATGGGGGGGCTTATTCCTGTTTCCTAGAGCTGCATGCACATAGTAAAGAGGCTGACGGGAGGCAGAGTGAGTGACTGGTGTTTCCCGGAGCGTGCTGGGGCCAGCTCCCACCAGCTTACAAGAGCCAATAGTTAAATTTTTTGGGAATTTTCCTGTAATTAAAATTATATAAACTCACAATTAAATAAATAGCACTTACAAAAACAGTAATACATACTCAGCACTCATTACTTCCAAATGTTTTATTTTATTCTGTGCTCTTAAGGTTACTTATGTCTGTTTTGTCTGTATGTTGGAAACACCACACAATGGTCTGCTTCTGTGAATTTCTTCCCAACCCTGACTTTAGTGGAATCATGTTAGTAGCATGAAATTGACCGTAATGGGAGTATTTATACCGTGGAAATCAGATTCTCCCCTAGTCTCTTATCTCCTGGAGAGATGACTGAACACTCACTTGCTCACCACGGGATAGTGCCTAAAAGGTGGGAGATTGGGTGATGAGATTTCTTCCCTGTAGCATACTCAAGACTTGAGTAAACTCTGTGAATGTACAGGCTGTATGTTTCAAAAAATGAAGTACAGACTTCATTTTTTGAGGAAATCAAGCCAGCATCTAGACAGGCTAACATGGGATGAAACAAAATGACAGGTCAGAGTGCATGACACAGGAATGAAAACCATTTATGTCTACTAGAATAGAATAGACCATAAGAAATGCTGGGGACTTGTTAAAATTGTGGGAAGAGCTTTATTTTTTAGAGGGCTAAAATGATGGAGGGTCCAAATTTCTTTATGAGTGTATTCATATAAACAACACATTTCAAGATACCTACTTTCATTAATCACTATTCTTCTTCTTATCAGGAAGTAGATGTTCAACTGAACCTCATAAAAGGTGTGCTGTTTAAGAAAGCTCAGGAGTTACAGACTGAGACAATGAAAGAAAAAGAGGTTGTATCAAAAATTGAAGGAACTCGTTCCTCTCTGAAGCATCTCAACCATCAGTTACAAAAACTGGATTTTGAAACCTTGAAGCAGCAACAAATTATGTACAGCCAGGTGGGTGTTACTTTTGTGAATATCTTCCATATTGATTTGTGGTAGTTGTGTTGGTCGAGACGTGCCAGTGTTCTAAGAAAACAGAATTCTAAGCACTGTCTTGGAGGACAGGCAGCTGCTGAAGGTGAGACATCATGTTAGGTTGGGAGTAGGGTGAGGGAGCCTTAGAAACTGTATTTTCCCCTCAATCTGAAATAAGTAGGCAAGAGAAGAGAGAACTCTAGTGAGGGAGAACCATGTTTTAAGGAACCTGGGACATTTGCTTGCAGAGTAAAACAAAAGATGGCATGAGATGCCTGCAACCCAGAAAGACTGGGTGTTGAATTGTTAGTTATGCACCCCCACCCTCACTGCCATGCCAGTAGAGGAAAAGCATTTTTTTTTTCAGTTTTGTCTTATTTTGTTCTATTTATATATTTGTTAATTTGTTAATATTGTTATTTTCTTAATATAATATTGTTAATTTCTTAATATTCTCCATCTCTACATCTTAATTTGCTCATCTAATTTATATTCTTAGTTTTTAAAAATTATAGACATTAAGAATTAAAATTACAGATATTAAGAATAATTAATTAGAAGTTGATATTTGAATGTTTCGTGACTAACAATTTGTGACTATGTGTTTTGTATCCCTTAGAAAATGTGCCCTCAGAAATCCAAGTTCATTTAAATCCAGTGAATTTACTGAGATTCCATCATGGTAGTATGATAAACATCCCCCAACTCTGTCATATTTTCAGAAGATTGTTTCTGTGTCTATCATGTACCTTGATTCTTGAGATATAGTTTATTTTTGTTCCTCTTAGAGTGAAAAGGATTTTGTCCTGAATTACTGAAAGACTAAAGTGACTTTATTACATGATAATGCCCAGTGCAAACTCATAAGTATTGACTTTGTTTTTACACTTATAGAAATGCTTTTGTTTCTTTGTAATAACTATTTTTTTAAAAAAATAACAAACTGTAACAGGATTTTCACATTCAACAAGTGGAACGGAGAATGTCACGGTTAAAGGGAGAAATTAATTCAGAAGAAAAACAAGCCCTTGAAGCAAAAATTGTTGAACTTAAGAAGTCTTTGGAAGAGAAAAAATCTACATGTGGCCTTTTGGAAACACAGATCAAGAAGCTTCATGTAACTTAGCCAAAATACATTTTATATTTCAAATATCCTAGTCATTCTGTTTTAAGTCAACATGTTCCTAAGACTACTTTGGATAGTGTGTTTGCCAGTCTACACACATATATTACAAATGTATGAACAGTATTCTTATTTCTGTACTATTAGCTTGTAATGTTACCATTGATAATGAATTTAGTATATGCTAAATATTGTATGACATGCCTCTAGCATTTAATTTCGTATAATCCTTACAGCTGTCCTGTGAGGAAGATACTATTATCTGTTTTGTAGATTAAGTAATTTGTCCAGGTTATTCAGCGAGTACGTGGAGAGCTAGGATTTGATACCTGCTGCATTTGACTTCTAAGTACTCTTCAAGAGTACACTGTTCACAACATCGATGAGTTCTAGTTTTCTATCTTATATCTTCCATAACAAATAACTTGATTGCCCGTTGTCTTTCAAATGCCGTCTACAGAGAAGCTGCTGTTTTATGAGTCAGCAGTTGTTACTCAAATCTTTACTGATAATATTTGAAAAGATTCGATTCTGTTAATAAGGCAAGAACGTCTTCATCTTTAGGCATTTTATTATGTTTATTGTAATATAAAACCTATGTTAAAGTTTGACTAGAGAGTAAAAGTGAGAGAGTGAGCATGGACTTGAATGGGGTGAGAACTTAGCAGGGTCTAAATGTTACTTACCATTGGAAAGGCTATTGATGAGTGTCATCTGGTGGTTATAAAAAGAATTGCCCTAAATTCCTTGAGGGCTGTAAAAGGTGGAGAGGTATTACTTATTTTTTTCCTCTTATTTTAAGAAGCCAGGGGCCGGGCACGGTGGCTCAAGCTTGTAATCCCAGCACTTTGGGAGGCCGAGGCGGGTGGATCACGAGGTCAAGAGATCGAGACCATCCTGGTCAACATGGTGAAACCCCGTCTCTACTAAAAATACAAAAAATTAGCTGGGCATGGTGGCCCATGCCTGTAATCCCAGCTACTCAGGAGGCTGAGGCAGGAGAATTGCCTGAACCCAGGAGGCAGAGGTTGCGGTGAGCAGAGATCGCGCCATTGCACTCCAGCCTGGGTAACAAGAGCGAAACTCTGTCTCAAAAAAAAAAAAAAAAAAAAAAAAAAAAAAAAAAGCCAAAATTTTGGTTTGGAGTAGTTTGTTATCTGATGAAATATTTTTAAATTGTTACCCTTGTTTGGTGGAAAAAGAACACTTGTTTTTGGATCAGAATGAGTTTTAGATTTCAAGGCTATACCATTACTGCTATTTTAACTTTTCTGAGCTCTAGTTTACTCATCTATTAAATGGGGGAGAAATTAATATTATTTTAGGACATTTGGGAGAACTAGAATTTGTATCTTAGTGCAATACTTTATAGTAGGTACTCAATATGTGACATTATTTTGATTATTTAGAATATGAGAATATTAATGCTATAGAATGTATAGCAGGAAGAGAGATAAAATAGGATTATTATAAATATCTGAGTATATAATTTAATGTGATATATAATATAGTATGTATTTAATATTTTTGTTAATATTTAAAACATTTATATGCCTTTTTTCTTTTTGCAGAATGATCTTTTTTTTATCAAGAAGTCAAACAGTAAAAGCAGTGATGAAAAACAGTCCCTTATGACCAAAATAAATGAACTAAACCTTTTCATAGACAGATCAGAGAAAGAACTTGATAAAGCCAAAGCTTTTAAGCAGGTATAGTGAAATTGTATGCATATATAGTATTGAAAACCATGTTTCCATGTTAATTGTAGACAAATTAAAAATACAGCTAATCATGAAAAGTCACTGTAATCACTATACCCAATATAAACAGTGTTAAAGTCTATTCCTTCCTTCCAGTCTTTTAAAGAATTTGGCTTTTTATGGTGTATTAAAAAATTTTCTACATACCATATGTTTCTTAAAACGTTAACTATTCTTTGAAAAATAGTTTTGAAAGTTTTCTACAAGTGCCTTGAATGAAGTTACCATAATTTATTTAAACGTCCCCTATTTTTTAGGATTTTGTTTCTTTCCAATGGTTGGCTATTGTAAATAGTACTACATGTACAATGCAGTCATTCAATTAGTTGTTCATTGTATAGTTATTCAATTAGTTCCTTTGGATAAATTCCTACCTACATAATTACAGTTGAAAAAGAAATGAATATTTTTAATGTCTTGAAACTATTTTCAATCCCAATTACCTTCTAGAGGGTATCATTAATACTCCTGTAAGCATTCTGTTTTATTCAGTACCACTGAGGCTGGATATCCTAATTTAGAAAATTGTTGGCAATTTGATAGTCAAATATGGTATCTCATTGTTTTAGTCTGCATTTTTAAAGTTGGCGGTTTAAAAATATTTTGCTTAATGATAAATTTTCAAGCACTTATTTTTTTGTTTGTTTTTTTTTGTTTTTTTGAGATGGAGTTTCGCTCTTGTTACCCAGGCTGGAGTGCAATGGCACAATCTTGGCTCACCGCAATCTCCACCTCCTGGGTTGAAGCGATTCTTCCACCTCAGCCTCCTGAGTAGCTGGAATTACAGGTGTGCACCACCATGCCCAGCTAATTTTTGTATTTTTAGTAGAGACGGGGTTTCACCATGTTGACCAGGATGGTCTCGATCTCTTGACACCCACCTCGGCATCCCAGAGTGCTGGGATTATAGGCGTGAGCCACCGCGCCCGGCCTCAAACATTTCTGTTTAAATAAAAATGTTTGAAACACTTTCTCTGTTAGGTCATGTTCCATATTTTTTCTCTTTGGAGCTCTTTTGTATTCTTGGCCTATTTTTCCACTGGGAGGTTGACATACATAAATTGCTTTACAAAATATTTTCATATGTAAAAATATTATCTCTGTCATAAATATTGTAAATATTTTCCCCATTTATCTTTACAGTTTTATTTAGTGTTTGTGACATTAAACTTTTCTTTAAACATCAAATCTTTAGGTTTCTTTTTTCTTTTAAATTTTTATGCTTAGAAACTTCTTGGTTACACTAAAAATCAGACCAATGTTTATTATGTCTAGTAGTTACACTAGTGTTATCTCTTAAGATTTTTCATTCATCCGGAATATATTTTTGGTACATGTGAGATGTAAGTATCTAATCTCTCCAACTGAAAAGCTATATTTATGAAATAACAAAATCTGATATTATGGAGCATTTGATTCTGGGATTTCTATTCTGAAAACTGATCGATATGTGTACTCTATGTGAGTATTCTATTCATGACTGAATTGTTTTAAGATAAAAATATATTTACACATTATTTTGTGAGATTCAGAGTATAAAAATGGCCATTCATAGGACTTTGTTTTCTAGATGGTATTAAGTTTAATTATATGAATAACTTCTTCTTTTATTTTTTATAATAGCAAAGCTTGACTTCAACATTGAATTATAAAAAGATTTGAAATAACCATAAACCCTTTTCTTAAAAAAAAACAAAAACCTATGACTCTGAACAATTTAATTTCAGCCCTAGTTAATATCTTGGTCAATGGTTAAATTAGAAAAAGGTATATTTTCAAGTTTGACTTATGTAGTAATAGAAAGAAAAATATCTTGGTTTTGTAATAAAAAACAATTTCAATATTTGACCATTTTGTTGATAGGATTTGATGATAGAGGACAATCTTTTAAAACTTGAAGTTAAGCGTACTCGAGAAATGCTTCACAGTAAGGCAGAAGAAGTTCTTTCCCTGGAAAAAAGAAAACAGCAATTATACACCGCTATGGAAGAGCGAACGGAAGAAATTAAGGTTCATAAAACAATGCTTGCATCACAAATAAGATATGTTGATCAAGAACGGGAAAACATAAGGTAATTTTTAGTTTTAAAACACTGCTGAGGAACTTTGAAAAAAAAAATAAGGGTGATGTCTGGAGAACTGGCTGCCCCCTAACATCCTGGATGTGCATCTTTTTCTTATTCGTTTGAAATGGCTTTTCACATAAGACACAGGGCATGTTATAGTCATAAATCTAGGCGCTTCCTTTGGTTAATTCTTCATTCTTTGGATTGTCCCTTTTACATTAAGATCACGAATCTACTTGGAATTGCTTTTCATCTATGGTTTTTGTTAAAGTCCAATAACATGTCTTTTATAAAATAGATAATAGCTGCATCTGTTGAAGTGATTTTGTCATAGAAATTTTGCACACCTTTATGTGCAAAGATTATTTCCAGCTACAGGTTTTTTTTTTAATGTTACTGTCAATTTCATTTTTGGTTTGTTGCTGATATGTAGAAATAGTTAATTTCTGTATATTCGGCAACCTTGCTTAACAATCCTGTTTGAACAATCAGTAGATTCTAATTCTATATGCTGTATGTAATTTATATTGTTTTCAAACAGTAAGTTTTATTTCTTGCTTTCCAATCTTTATAACTTTTCTTTTTTCCCAGTTCAGTACTGAAGAGCAGTGTTGATTACAGCTATCTTTGTCTTGTTTCCTGATGTCAAAGGGAGAGCTTTCATTGTTTTTTCATTAAGTATAAGGTTTACTGTAGTTTGTTTCTGGTTCTTTTAGATATCTTTTACCATATTAAGTGAGCTCCCATCTATTTTTAATATTTACTAAGAGGTTATTTTAATTTGTTTAATCAAGAATGGATGTTACTTTTATTATATGCTTTCTCAGGATTCACTGACAAGATGTAGCTTCTTCAATCTGTTAATGTGTTTAACATACAGATAAATTTTTCAAAGTCAAACCAACCTTACATTCTAGAATAAACCCAACTTGTCTGTCACATATTATCTTTTGCATACATCTAGATTTTGTTAGGGAATATTTTCATACAACTTTCGCGTCTATGTTCATGTGTACAAACCCATAATTCTCCTTGCTCTACTGTCCTTGTCAGGTTATCAAGCTCTTAAGATTATGTCTGCCTTCATAAAATGACTTGTGTGTATTTCTTATTTTTCTCTACTCTGAATATGTTTCTAAAAGAGTGGAATTATATCTTTTTTGTTTTTCAAAGACCTCATTGGAAACAAAGCCATTGGGAGCCTGAAGTTTTCTATGGGGAACATTTTCAGCTATTGGTTGAAATAGTTGAATAGTCCTACTGGTTATAGGACAATGCAGATTTTGTATTTCTTATTGATTCCATTTTGGTAAATTTTATTTTTCTCTAGGAAAAGTTTTCTATATCCAAATTTTCAAATGTATTGCCATAAAGTTGTTTATAATATGATTTTATTATTTAATAGTTGTAGTATTTTTAGAGATGACTCCTTTTATTTTTCTGACATTGGTTGATTGGCATTTAGGCTGGTTCCAGTCATTGTTTTAATAACCCAACTCTACCACTGTAGACTTTTGGGGCAGGGTAAGTCTCACCACAAGTTAATCAGTTTTAACATTATTTGGAAAGGATCTGCTATTATCAGAATCTTCTATTGTCCATTCATTATTTCATTAGTTTCTGATCTTGCCTTTCCTATCTTTCCTTCTTTTAAATGGGGGTTTAAATGTTCTTTTCCTAAATTCTTCAGATGCTTAGCTTATTAATTTTCAGCTTTCAAGTCTGAAAAAATACCTTTAAGTATTAGCTTCATCCCACAGAAAGTTAATATTGCCATTATTTTCTTTTTTGCTTTTCTTCTTTCAACGGTCATAGACTTTTACTTTTGAAACTTTATTGAGGTATATTTGAGATACATAAGTTGCATATATTTAAAGCATACATTCGATAGGTTTTGACATGTATAATACACCAGAGAAACCATCACCACCATCAAGACAGTGTTTCCATCACCTCCACATGTTTCCTTGTACCCCACTGTAATTCCTCCTTTCAGTGCCTCCCAATGTTTCTCTCTCCAGACAACTGATCTGTTTTTTATCCATATAGCTCAGGCTGCATTTTCAAGAGTTTTATGTAAATGGAATCCGGTAGTAGGTCCGTCTTTTGTCTGGCTTTTTTCATTCAGCATAATTACAGTATTTTGAAATTCATCCCTGTTGTGTATATCACTATACATTCCTTTTTATCAGGGGTTGACACACTTTTTCTCTAAGAGCTAGATAAGCAACTTATAGTTCCTTGCAGGCCATACGGTCTTTGTTTTATTAGTTTTGTTTGTTTTCTTTTTTTGATTTTTTTCTCTTTTTTTGAACTTCAGTTCTATGTTTTATTAGTTTTCTAAAAATTTATTTCGATAGTTTTTGGGAAACAGGTGGTTTTTAGCTACATGGGTAAGTTCTTTAGCAGTAATTTCTGATATTTTGGTGTACCCGAACCCAGGCAGTGTACAGTGTACTCGGACCCAGGCAGTGTACAGTGTACTCAAGGTATAGACCTTTATCCTTCAGGCCCCTCTCACCCCCCAGATAAGTCCCCAAAGTCCATTAGATCATTTCTTTTTTTTTTTTTCTTTCATAGATTCTTATTCAAACTCATTTAAAGGGATGGGTATTAGGTATTCATTTTAGTGACGTCTCTGACTGTTCTGGATAGTGATACCTCAAGATCTTTTTTTTTTTATTGCATTTTAGGTTTTGGGGTACATGCGAAGAACATGCAAGATTGTTGCATAGGTACACACATGGCAGTGTGCTTTGCTTCCTTCCATCCCCTCACCTGTATCTGTCATTTCTCCCCATGCTGTCTCTTCCCACCTCCCCACCCCCCCTCCACTCCCCCATTTCCCCCCAACGGACCCCAGTGTGTACATTAGATCATTTCTTATGCTCTTCCATCCTCATAGCTTAGCTCCCACTTATAAACAAGAACATAACAGTATCTGGTTTTCCATTCCTGAGGTACTTAGAATAATGTTGCCCAACTCCATCATCCAAGTTGCTGCAAATGCCTTGATTTTCTTCCTTGTGTGGCTGAGTGGCATTCCATGGTGTATATATACACCACATTTTCTGTATCCACTCATTGGTTGATTGGCATTTAGGCTGGTTCCAGTCATTGTTTTAATACCTTAACTCTACCACTGTAGACTGAAAGCTGCCACAGACAATATGTCAAAAAATGAGCATGGCTATTTTCCAATAAAACTTTATGAATATTGAAATTTGAAATTTTCATGAAACATAATTCTTTTATTTTTCTAACCACTTACAAATTTAAAAATCATTCTTCGCTTGTGGGTTACACAAAAACAGGTGGCAGGCAGGATGGTTTGCTGACCCTGGCTTTCTCTTGGTAAATAGCAGTATTCCACTGAATGTGTTTGCTCCAATCTGTGTATCCATTTACCTGCTGATGGACATTTGAGGTGCTCCCAGTTCTTAGCTATTATAAACAAAGGTGCTGTGAACATATGTGTTCCTGGTATGGACATATGTTGTCTTTTCTCTTACTTAGGAGTAAAATTGCTGGATCATGTAGTAGGTACATATTTAACCTTTCAGGAAACATTAAGAAATTGCCATGTATTCATTATTTCTGTCTTTCCTGCTTTTTGTTGGTTTTACTGAATTTTGTTTTGCTTTTTCTTTATTTGGAACGTATACATTCTAATTTTAATTATTTTGCTGGTTATTCTTAGATTTAAAAGAAACCTTAATTCTCTATGAATATTGAAAATTAGTTTGTAATATTTTCCCTTCCTAAAAAATAAGACTTTTAGCATCTTTTGCCTCTTCTTTTCTTCTTCCCATCATTCACTGATTGTTGAAACAGTGATTATAGTTTCTTGTTAGTGTTTTTAATCTTATGTCTGTACTTTTTAAAGAACTCCTTAATGTGCACTAAGCTGTACAGCCAAATGCCAGCAATAACTTAAAACTACCTATGTTCGTTTCTTAATTTTTTTTCATGTATCCCTTGTTATCATTCTATTTTCTTGTATTTCATTTTTTGGAATATGATTCTGAATTTGTTTATTTGAACTGCTGTTTTCTGAAATTTTGCAATCCTTGTATGTTTACTATATAGTTATTCTCCCTTAAACTTGAATTAGAGATCATTGTGAAACATTGTTTCATATTCTGCTAGATTACAGTGTTGTTTATGAGAAATCTGATTAGAGATAAATTTATTTTGTAGGGAAACTAGGTTTTGTTTTCTTTCTGGGAGTTTTGGGATACTCTCTTTATCCTTGGTGTCTCATAACTTTCTTGTCTGTGTCCAGGTGTTTTGCCATTTTTAAGTTTCTCTTTCTTGACCCTTCCTGGGTAAACTCTTTTAGTTATTTAAAATTTTTTTTTGTCTTAGGATCAGGGGTACATGTGCAGGTTTGTTATACAGGTAAACTTGTGTCATGGGGGTTTGTTATACAGGTTATTTCATCAACCAGGTGCTAAGCCTAGTACCAATAGATATTTTTTCTGTTCCCTCCACGTACAAATAGGCCCAGTGTCTGTTGTTTGCCTCTTTGTGTCCATGAGTTAATCATTTAGGTCCCACTTATAAGTGAGAACATGCAGTATTTGGTTTTCTGTTCCTGCATTAATTTGCTAAGGATAATAGCCTCCAGCTCCATCCATGTTCCCGTGCAAAGCAAGATCTTATTCTTTTTTTATGGCTGCATTGTATTCCATGGTGTATATATGCCACATTTAAAAAATCTGTCACTGATGGGTATTTGGGTTGATTCCATGTCTTTACTACTGTGAAGAGTGCTATGATGAACATTCTTGCATGTGTGTCTTTATGATAGAATGACTTGCATTCCCTTGGGTATATACCCAGTAATGGGATTCCTGGGTTGAATGATACTTCTGTTTTTAAGTTTTTTGAGGAATCACTGAATGGCTTTCCAAAATGGCTAAACTAATTTACACTCCCACCAACAATGTATAAGCATTCCTTTTTCTCTGAGACCTCACCAGCACGTTATTTTTTTGACTTTT